CTCCATTCCACAAGTGATCATTCCCAAGGTGTGAACAGCTCCACAAACCACGGTGATAAATGCTTTCTCTCCCCACTCACTCACAAACAACTGGTATTCCTAAATGCCCTTTGATTTTCACACCTATTACATCCTGCTCTCCCTTCAGACCAGACAGCTGATACTTCAGCTGGCACAAACAGGGGCAACTCTGCCCAAATTTCTGGCAGAAACCCACTACCATCAAGAAGAAGCAGCGAAACACTGAGAGAATCAGGCTGTGAGGCTTTTTTTATGGGTAAAAATTGGAGTTAAGTCTCCTGAGAGCACGAGGAGCAGAGACAGGTGAGAAAATCCACCCCTTTTCTCCTTCTTTTTACAAGTTCAGGTGGAGGAAAAACATGCATGGGCTCAGCATCAGATTTATGATGAGGAAACTGAGTGTTCAGAGGGTGTAGAACTGATCTTCTGTGTGCCATAACTCCAAGGACTGTTCACCCCTTAGGACGCTGGGGCCCCTCCAAATATCCACAGAGTATCAAAACGTTCTTTATGGAAAAACACATCAAATCTACAGTTGCTTTATTACCTCCCTGAGCCATAAAACAAGCACATCTCTTATTTTTCTTCCCCCCCTCCTTTTTTTTTTTCCCCCCCCAAACACGCCTTTCAGCAGCACTTGCTGCTCTCACAAAGCCGAGTGCTGGTTAGGGGTGGGAGCTTGGTTAATGTGCCATCTGTCAGCAGGAGCTGGGGCAAAGGCTCTCCTGTCAGCCTGCAGTTTAAAAAAGCAAGGACAACAGGGAGAGCTACAGGAAATGGAAGGAGGCCTACTGGTCTGTGGGAGTCACCAGCGACACCTTGTTCACTGATAAAACATAAACGTGTGAAAAAAATCTGTATATCCCCATAACTGCTGCGGTGCTGGTGTGGATTCCTCCACAAGAGCCAGCCCTGGGTTTGAGGTCCTCTTCTGTACTGAGTCCAGCTTTCTTCAGCTGCAAAAATTCACCAAAACCTTTCATTTTCACGTGTGTTTTGCACATCCCTGGGATGTGTTTTTCTACTCTGTCGATGCGTGTTCCACCAAAGCGAAACTGCTGAGAAAATAGCTGGATTATTATTTACTTGTCTTAAGGGCAAAAAAAGCATTTGTCTCCTCTGAAAATACCTTCTCTTGTGCTCACTTTACACGTGTGAGGACTTTCACACCTCCCAAATGCACCTCAGTGATCCATTTTTAAATCACAACTGGCAAAAACAGAATCCTCAGCTACTCAGGGCATCAATATTTCACCTGCTGCTGGTGGATATTTTGCTGTCTGCTCTCTCCCACCTTGGGAGCACACCTGATCCCTGCTAAATCCGACTTCCAGACACACAAGGCCTGTAAGGGACTTTGGACAAGGATCTGGAGTGACAGGACAGAGGGGAATGGCCTTTAAAACAGGAGAGATTTTGGTGGGATATTAGGAAGGAATTGTGAGGGTGGGCAGGCCCTGGCACAGGTTGCCCAGAGAAGCTGTGGCTGCCCCTGGATCCCTGGAAGTGTCCAAGGCCAGGTTGGAGCAACCAGGGCTGGTGGAAGGTGTCCCTGCCCATGGCAGGGGGTGAATGAGATGGTTTTTAAGGTCCTTTCCAACCCAAAGCATTCCATGACTGTGACCTCTCCCTCTGCCTGCTTTAATTCAGTGTTTTGCTCAGTAAGACTCAGCTCACTCAGAAGGAACTCAGAACAGCTCTCACAATGCAGCTGTACCTTTCATGCTGCCTGTAACATGTCCAGGGAAGCAGAGCCAAGAAAAACCATCCCAATTCCAGGCTTTACACAGCCAGATAAGCCCCTCCACCACGGGAGCTCTGGGAATCATCAGCTCCGTGTATTTAGGAAGAGCTGTTAAAGCCTCGCTGTGCTGTCTCCATCTGCTGACAGCACAGACCTACATTCCAGAACTACAAATCAGTGTTCAACTGTGGGACTGAGTAAGTGGGGGGGAAAAAAGGGAAAAGAACCCTCTGGAACAGGAATATTAACTCGAATTTACAAAAGTATCACAAAGTGCACCTGGAGCACTTCAGGCTGTTAGAAATGCCATTCAGAGGGAAAACCTCCAACCCCCTGTCACAGTTTTGGAGGAGTTGAGTAGGATCATCCAACACTTGAGTTAAGCTGTTCTCCTCTCCTCCAGGTGCACACAAATGAAGGATCATTTACAGCACGTGGGGGAGGTCGCTGAGGGAATTCCAAGGAGTCAGAACACCACAGGTCTGTGTTACAGGGAATGCTGTTATGGGAATGTCGGGAGATCAGATTCCTCTAAGCCAGTTTCTTCTGCAATATAAACATCTGACATCTCTAATCAGATTACACGTAGATAAGACCTTCCCCTTCTTAATATTGCTTTTAGCTGGGCCTGCTTGTAATCCTTTCAAAGGAGATGACGCTTCCCAACAGCTCCACAAAGGCACTTTTACGGATGAGATCCCTTTGCTCAGGACATATTTCCTCCTGACAACTGAATGGAAGAACAACACTGCCAAGAGACAGATTCCTTCCATGCAGGCTGTGGCTGGCAGGGAGCAGCAAGGAGCACTGGGTGTCATATATTAATGAAATGGGCACAAATGTGAGCCAAGATGTCTTGGATTTACACAAACGTGCACTGAGAGGTCACATTTGGCAGGGGAGAGAATCCTTATCTTTACTCCAGCACTTAAACCCGACAAAGGGCTGTTGTTTGCATTTACTGCAGGGGGAAGTA